AACCTCCAGGTGATCTCAAGTGACGTCTATGTGACGTCTTTTGAAAACATTTTTTTTTTTTTTAGTATTTTTTTAATTATTTTTAGAATTTTTTTGGGAAAAATAGAAAAAATAATTTTGGGGGAAAAAAAGCGACCTCCAAGTGACATCAAAGTGAAGACCAAGCAACCTCCAGGTGACGTCAAAGTGACACCCAAGTGACGTCCAAGCAACCTCCAAATGACCTCAAAGTGAAGACCAAGTAACCTCCAGGTGACGTCCAAGTGACCTCAAAGTGACACCCAAGTGTCCTCCAAATCTGTGATCTGTTTTGAAAAGTTTTATTATTTTTTTTAAGAATTGTTTTTTTTTTAGAAATTTTTTTTTTTTTTTAGAAATTTTTTGTTTTTTTAGAATTTTTTTTTGGAAAACCAAAAAAAGTGACCTCAAAGTGACATTTTTTTTCTAAAAGAATTTCACATTTTTTTCCCAGAATTTTTTTTCTAAAACTTTTTCTAAAATCAAGTCTTCAAAATGCTATATTTTGATGAGAAACATGCAGAAAAGTTAAAATTGTGAAATTTGTTTTTCAAAGATGAGTATTTTTCAAAGATTTTTATCAGTTTTTCAACATCTGATCAAAAAGTTTTTTTTCAAAAAATTATTCAGAATAAATGCTATATTTTGAAAAGAAACTTTTTTCTGAAATTTTTCTCTTTGAATTTTGAATCTTTTAATTTTTTTTCTAGAAATTAAAAAAAAATCTAAAACTTTTTATAATAAAAATGAATCAAAACGCTATATTTTGATGAGAAACAAGCAGAAAATATACAATTTTGAAAAAAGTTTCAGAGATTTTAATCCAAATGTTTCAAAATCTGAGAAAAAAAAAATTTCTAAAAATTAAAAAAAATTCTAAAACTTTTTCTAAAATCATGTCTTCAAAACGCTATAATTTGATGAGAAACATGCAGAAAAGATAAAATTGTGAAATTTGTTTTTCAATGATTTTCATGAAGATTTTTTTTACATTTGATCAAACTGGGTTTTTCATAAAATTTTTCAAAATCAGAACAAATTTTGTTTTATATTTTTCAGAAAAAAAATTTCAAAACGGTATGATAAGAAACATACAGAAAACATACAATTTTGAAAGAAGAATTTCAAATATTTTCATCAAAATTATTCAACATTTGACCAAAAATTTATTTTCAAAATATTTTCTAAATAAAACATTTCTAAACATTTTCTAATTTTTTTGTCAAACACTATATTTTGAAAAGAACATTTTTTCTGAAAGAATTTCAATTTATTTTTCCAGAAATATTTTTCTAAAACTTTTTCTAAAATCAGTTCTTCAAAACGTTATATTTCGATGAGAAATATGCAAGAAAATATACCATTTTGAAAAACAAATTTCAGAAATTTCCATCCAAATTTTTAAACATCCGACTAAAAACTTTTGTATAATTTTCCATTTTTTTTAAACTTTATATTTTGATAAGAAACATACAGAAAGGATACAATTTTGAAAAACAAAATTCAACGATTTTCATCTAAATGTTTCAAAATCTGACCAAAAATTTCTTTCTGAAAGAATTTCAATTCTTTTTCCCAAAAAATGTGTCTAAAACTTTTTCTAAAATCAAGTCTTAAAAAAGTGACCTCAAAGTGACATTTTTTTTCTAAAAGAATTTCACATTTTTTTCCCAGAATTTTTTTTCTAAAACTTTTTCTAAAATCAAGTCTTCAAAATGCTATATTTTGATGAGAAACATGCAGAAAAGTTAAAATTGTGAAATTTGTTTTTCAAAGATGAGTTTTTCAACATCTGATCAAACTTTTTTTCCATTTCTAAACATTTTTCAATTTTCCAAACACAATATTTAGATAAGAAACATACAGAAAAGATAAATTTAAAAAAAATTCAAAGATTTTCATCAAAATCTTTCAACATCAGCCCAAAATATTTTTTTCTGAAAATTTTTCAAATTTTGTTTTCCTAAATATTTTTCTAAAACTTTTTCAAAAAGTTTTAAAATGCTATATTTTGATGAGAAACAAGCAGAAAAGATATAATTGTTATATTTTTTCAATGATTTTCATCAAAGTTTTTCAGCATCTGATCAAAAATAATTTTCTCAAAACTTTTTTTTCTAAAACGTTTTTTTAAATATTCAAAATGCTATATTTTGATGAGAAAGATGCAGATTGCAAGATTTTCTTTCTGAAAATGTTTCAATTTATTTTCTCAAATTTTTTCAAAAACTTTTTTTCTAAAAATTTGTGAAAGATTTTTTTTCCAAATTTTTCTCTAAAAACATTTTTCAAAACGCTATATGATTACAAACATGCAAAAAAGAAAACATTAAAAAAAATTTCAATGGGTTTAATCAAAAACCAATTTTTTCTGAACTTTTTTAAAGAAATGTTTTTTTTCTAAAAATCCTTTCAAAACACTATATTTTGATACATGCAGAAAAGATACAATTTTAATTTTGGACGGCATCCATTTAACGTTTCTGTCACTACTGCTTGTTGACTTTTTGTGATTCTTAGAGCCACCACACCTGTAAGCTCCGGAAGATTCACTATCCCGGCTGAGATGGCCATCTCCTGGTCCTACTTGCTTCTTTCAGATGGTCCTTTTATATGTTGTACATGCACTAATTTATTTAATTTAACTATAATTTAAAATACATAGCTATGCTTAAAATTCAGAAAAATATATTTTTCAACTTTCTTTATTTTTCAACTAAAGTCAACTTTTGATCAAAAGCAACATACTACTGTATACTAATACATTTTAAAAAATCCCTAAAAATAAAAATTTCCCAAAAATGAATGCAGTACTGTACCTAAAAATATGTAGCTATGCAGGTTTTTATTTATAATTTCTTTTTCCGGAATTTCAATCATTGTTAAAAACCAACATACTTTACTAATAATTTCTGAAAAAGTCTTAAAAAACAATAAAATAGAGAGAAATGAATAAAAACATACTTGCCTAAAATATTTTTATATAGAACATATTTTAATTTGCCTAAAAATGTGTAGCTATGCACTTTTCACATTTACAGCATGCATTAAGTAAAACAAAAAAGAAATCACTTCGGCATATTTTGTCAAACAAACAAAATTTTATAACATAACATCTCGGAAAAGGTTAAGAAAAGCTTCCTCAGAAGGTACGCAAATGAAACCTCCTAATGACCCAATGACAGACGAGAGCTATCACATGCGGGCGTGACTGACGAAATACGACTAACCAATAAAAACGCCGTAACCACGTGAACATGGCAGATGTTTGGACCATTCAGGACGCTCCTCAGAGTGCGTTCATGGCAGCATGACGGGAGCGCGCAACTACTGGTCGAGTACGCGCAGAGAGCAGCAACGCACGAGAGAGGGGCAGAAGCCGAATGGTGGAGCTGAAGATGGCGGATGGCGACAGCGGGAGTGAGCGCGGTGGTAGTAGCGGAGGAGGAGGTGGCGGCGGCGGCTTCCAGCACTTCCAGCGGGACCAGGACACCCAGGAACTGGCGTCCAAGCGCCTCGACATTCAGAACAAGCGTTTCTACTTGGATGTCAAGCAAAACAGCAAGGGCAGGTTCATCAAAATCGCTGAGGTTGGGGCCGGGGGCTCGAAAAGTCGCCTGACCCTCTCTCTGTCAGTGGCAGCGGAGTTCCGCGACTACCTCGGGGATTTCATCGAGCACTACGCCCAGCTCGGGCCTAGCAGTCCGGAGCAGATAGCTCAAGCATCAGTGGGAGAGGACGGCGGGCCTCGGCGGGCTCTCAAGAGCGAATTTCTCGTTCGGGAGAACCGCAAGTACTACCTGGACTTGAAGGAGAATCAGCGGGGGAGATTTCTGCGGATTCGTCAGACCGTTAACCGTGGATCTGGCTTTGGAGTTGGGGGCCCAGTAGGCGGCATGCTGGCTGGCCAGACCATAGCCCTTCCGGCGCAGGGGTTAATAGAGTTTAGAGACGCCCTCGCTAAGCTCATAGATGACTACGGAGGAGACGACGAGGAGCTAAGCGGCGGCCTTGCTGCCGGGGGCTACGGCGAGCTCCCCGAGGGAACCACCATCATGGTGGACTCCAAGCGGTTTTTTTTCGACGTGGGGTCCAACAAATACGGAGTTTACCTGCGGGTGAGCGAGGTGAAGCCCAGCTACAGGAACTCTATCACCATCCCCTTCAAAGCCTGGAGCAAGTTCGGAGGCGCTTTCTGCAGGTATGCCGAGGAGATGAAGGAGATCCAGGAGAGGCAGCGGGATAAGATGTACGAGAGGAGAGACGAGTCCGAGGGAGACGACGTGGATGACGACTGAGACAACTTAAGTTTAACAACTGTTAGTCCAGTTGAGACGTGACATATCTGCAATATAGACGAGTTTTGCATAAAATTGTGAGGGAAAACAGAAATTAAAAAAAAAAAAGACAAAAGGGCATGACAAAGCGTGCTGTTATAGCATACTAAAGTTTCGTGGCGTTTAAAAGTACATGTGCAGGGACTTATTGGTGTATAATACTAAAGGTTGTGGGGCTGAGGGTTAGTGATTGTATGCATCTTTGAGAGATAACTTCTAAGTCAGATCAAGCTCATTGGCTAAAACACCTGGAGCTTTATTTTGAGAAAAAAAGAGAGAAATTACCAGCAAATTGGTTTACCTAACAAACATAAAGCCAACGGATGCTTTTCTATTTGACACATAGTTTATATTTTAAGATTGGGGAGTTGTAGTGTTTATGATGTTTTTCTTGCCTATTCTTTTATGGTGAGAATGAGCATCCATTGTATTTCTGTTCCAGGCCAGGTCCATCTTTTCCTATCCTCAGTTAGTTTGAAGGGGGTTCTGTAAGTCAGTGAGATAAAGCTGAGGAGTTCATGTTAACAACAACTAGTGGCTATCTTACATTAGCCTTGAAGAACACACGTGAGCAGCACTGAGGTAGGCAGCAGCAGCTGTAGGGTGACAATTTGAAACAACTACCCCATAACATTGGGGAGAGTCGCCGAGGAGAATCACCAACAGACCAACATCCATTTGGACTCCAGCTGTCAGTTACAGTGCAGAGCAGCTGGATTTTAAGTAATGTTGACATTTGTAAAGCAATGTTCACATTGTTTTCAGGAGGATTCACACTCAGAGGTGAAGCTGGCCGTCTCCTGATGGCACAGCATCTCTGGCTGTGTCACAGAATGGCAGCTCTGGGGAGCCGGTGTGTGAGGAGAGGAACGTCGAGTGTGTTCTCATTAAAGGACTTTGTTTTGTTTACGACGCTCACTTGCTCCCATGTGACACTACAAGCACTTGGACAGGAGCAGCTTCTTATCTCTCAGCTCTGCAGAGAATGAGATGATGACGATGTTGATTATGCTCCCCATCACTCTCCATGTGATGGTCAGAGCCATTCAAATGTCCGTCCTAACCAGCCGCAGGACATTGTTCAACTAAACAGACAAACACCTTTTTGACACATGAAGACCTGGGACCGAAACACAGTGATGGATGTTTTCTTTGAATTTATGTTTGTGTGGTTTTTTTTTTTTCCTTCAAAAGAGATAACTATATTGAAATGAAATTATAGGAAAGGTATTACTGAACAAACCAGCAAAAATATATTTTAAAATACTTAAAAAAGAAAAAGTGTATTGTCTAATTTTAAGAGTTAAGTCATAAAAGAAAAAAGATTAATTTCATAAAACAAAGATGCGACTCACATCTTCAGATTATTTTTCATTTTGTTTTCCCAAGAGTGAAAGTATGTAACACTTCCTTTATTAAAAGACCTTAAATTGAAATAACTGATTTATGTCTGTATTTATGTTTCAAGTTGCCTCACAGTGGGCTCCACTGCATATAAGACCAATGAAAAGAAAACACTTTAACAGGGGTGCCCAATAAGTATAAGTATATGCCCAATATATACATATATAAAAAGGGAATCATTGAACCTTGCAGGTAGGTTTCTACATAGACGTGATGAAGAAATCATCATAGTCAAACACATGAAATGTTTGGTTGCTGGTTTCAGGGTTATAATACTGGTGTAAGGATCAAAGACTCTGCTTCTATGTAATGTTTGATGAGGATAGTGCTGGGTCTGACTCTGATCTCACCATTTGAGCCCATTGACTAAACCAGTAATATTTGTGCCAGTGTTACACCTGTATTATTTTCCTATAACTTACAGACCATTACATCAGAGTGGAAAATGAGGTGAACCTTTGGTTCATGGCCAATAGATGGCATATATGTTAAGATTCGTACTTGATTCATTTATCTTCTACTGCTTGCGCCTTTTCATGGCCGGGGCACAGCTATACACAACTCTAGCAGTAATTGGGTAAAATCTTGTTGGCCAGTCCATCACAGGAGATTATATTTAGTTTTACTGGAATTCACATTAACATTTATATTTAAAGACATTTATAGGATATTTTAATCTTATCTTTAATGTGTTTGGACTGTAGGGGGGAAACCCACACAAACAGAGGGGGGGATGTAAACTAAATGTTTGTGTTTTATGTGCAAGTCTAAAATACAGTACAGCATCAGAACACTTCAACTAGCTGATAGCATACCCTTTGTAAAATGCCTACTTCCTTTATTCATGGGTTTTCAAAAAGATCTTTATTGTCATCATCAAATGGGACACAGCAGACTTCTAAAGCAAGCTATTAACTATGGGTCTGGATCTATATTTGAAAATAATCCAGAAAGTCACCACATAGTGGATTTAGAGGTAGCTGTAGCTCCATCTACATCTGGAGATCATTTTGAAGCCAACGCCATTGAATATAATCGTCACTTTTAGCAACTAAAAATATTTGACTGAGTTCAAAAACGGTCAACATGGCAAGTTATGAGAGTTCTCATTGATGATGATGATGATGATGATGTCACCATCATCCTAGCACCCTACAAACCTAACAGATCACCCTGCTCCTACAACGCAGACCCAGTAGAATGGGAGGCAGAAGCTTTAAAGTTAGACTTATTGTATATACAGTATCTGAATTACCATACGCTGCTCTACGCTAAGACTGCTGCAACTCCCGTGGTGCACTGAGCACTCTCTTTCCTTCATTCTATAAAAACATTATTGTTCTCTTTTTTTTCTCTACAAGTCAACCCAGGGCTAAAGTTTGCTAATACTTCACTTTAACCACTTGTCTGACTGCACTTTCAGTGTTGTGTTATGAATCTGGTCTCTGTCCCTCTATTCCTCCACATCTCCTTTTCTGCTCTATTTTTTATATTAATCAATAAGTCAATAAATATAGCAATTTTACAGACAGCAGTTCAACGTGCATAACATAATAAAACCAGCAACAGCCTCACCACAATCACACACATACTTCCCAAAAGTATTTAAGCCTACTCACACACACATACACATACACGGTTACATGTATTTAGACATAAGTGGGGACACAAGGAAAGTTGAGGGAAGGTAGAATTATCTCACCTCCTCAATTTGCAACAAGGAAACACTGGAGGACGGATGAAGGAAGACAAGATAAAAAGTTAAAAAAAAAAAAATAGAAAAATATTAAAAACAAATAAAAATGATATTTCCTTACCAGTTAGTGCAGTTACAGATTTTTTTTATTTATGGGGTTAAGGGTTGAGTGGGCTACTTTTGAGTGGAAACTCCAAAACATGTCCAAGCAGATCAATGTGTTTTGTTAATTTGCGTAATTCAAATGAAATTAACTCGACTTAACACGTGTTTCAAATGGTCAGAGCTTTTGCTTTACAGCTGTTCGAATGTCAGCCACACTCACACACGTAGACCCAGCAGCTGTCCCTACAGTTAATCACAACGCTGAAGGAAATGGCTTCCCCTGGAAAGAGCATGCTCAATTCCTCAGCAGTGACAAAGGCCTGAAGACACGGTGTGTTGGTGGTGGATGGTCTGCTGTCTGTAACAACATCAACCCCGGTTACACTGACGAGAGGAGCATATTGCGCTGAAACAATTAAACCTGTCTTTGGACACTAATGTGATGAGAAGAGACTGGGGAGTAATTTGATTCTCTCGTCACATGCTGCTCTGGCTGATTGATTCTCCTGTTGCTGAAACTGATTTAATGTAGAACGTCTTCTTCCTCAGTGCCTCCACTAAAGTGGTCTAAGTTTGGCAGCTGTTGGGCCACCATGTGGCCACTGTAAGGGCCTGCTGACGGGGCACGTTGGCTATTTTAATGTGGGAGGCCCCGACAGACTTGACATTCTTGCTCCAGGAGTCAGCTGTGTCATTAGGAGATCATTGCCTGGGGACACACGGTCACACACAACAGCTCGATTGTGTCAAAACCTGCACACACGTACGATACACAAAAGGCCCCTGTAGAAATACCGTGAGTCAGGAAGTGTTCCATTTAGTAAAAATATTTCTACTGCTTCATTAACAATCTGGCCCTTTTTGTGACTGCTGTATTTGAAGTCTTTACTTATAATTAATCTTGTATATAATAATGACTTCTATGGATAAGATCTGGCATGGGCAAACTACGGCCTGGGGGCCAGATGCGGCCCGTTTGGCTTTTCAATCCGGCCCGCCAAACAGGACTCAAACCTGCAACCATCAGGTTACAGAAGATCTAATCCAGGCCTAGCCAAACTTGTCCAAATTATGTTATTAATTTCCATTATCATTATATTATTCTGCCTTTTCCTTGCTATGCCCACATTTCTCCAATAGATGGCATAGAAAAGGCATTTTTATGGATTTTACATATTTGATTTAGTTCATACAAACACTTCATCTATCTGCTCTTGACCCGGCCCCCATCAAATTTTAGGACCCATTGTGGCCCATGAGTCAGAAAGTTTGGCTAGGCCTGATTTAGATCTTCTGTAACCTGATGGTTGCAGGTCTGATTCCTGACTCTGTGATTAGGCCTACAAGTCCTGACCTACTGCCAGCCTTAGCCAAATACAGTATTATGTACTTAACCAACATAATATGAGGTAGCCTTATTGTTGATCAATAAAAATAAATCAACGCCCTTTATTTAATTAAACAACAAGAGTAGTCAGAGAAAAGGCAAACGACGTTTCTCTTAGAGAACAAACATCAGGCACACGTGCAGAATCCAGCTCGTCAGGGCAGTTTAAGTGGCCCCAGACAATTTGAAAGGCATAGAATTGTCTTTTGAACCTACATACCATAAACTACAACTCCCACAATAAAACTGCACAACACAATATGGACAAATGATCCCAAAATACTGAAGAAGACAAAACTGATGCGGCCTGAGACTCAGACGACACAAATTGATTTTAATAAAAAATAATAAAAAAATAATTATAAATATGACATATTTTATGTACGAATCGTGTTTGATGGAATTCATAACAACATTTCTATTTTATAATTCATGTTGTGTTTACTTGAAATCCGTGAATACTAGACAAGATTAAAGTTTTGCCCTGAATATGGACAAATTGTAAGGAATGTTGTGATGATACAGCGCAAAGAGATTGTGACAACTGCCTATAATGTAATGATTACATTATACTGTATTTTTTATCAAAAAATACATAGATCTATTTAGATGCATTCAAACAAGGTGTCAAAAAAAGATTTATGTCTGTATTTATGTTTCAAGTTGCCTCACAGTGGGCTCCACTGCATATAAACAAACAAACAAGGTGTCGAAAAAAGACCTGTTATTGTTCAAGATCAAGAAAAATGTCTTTTAGTTAAGGTGATGAAATAGAAGAAAAAGTAGGAACGGGAGAGTGGAAGGTGAGAAGATGAACCTGTGTTGGTGCGAACAGGACTCAGAAAAAGGCACTGGATTATCCTATACTACAGAGGAAGCATGATCCTGCTGTGAAGCTTGGCTGCGGATGCTATATTTAGCTACTGTTGCCATGCAGTAACAATGTGTATGATGGGTATATACACACACACACACACACACACACTTACACACATACGCAGGATGATTGTTCATTAAAGGTTTTCAGCATTTATTTTTTACACCATACGATAGCCTTACCATGTGAGGTTTTATTTTTATTTATTTATGCTTTTTCATTTCCACCCAGGGATCAGAATTATTGTGTTGTATTGTTGCTGGACGTGCTACACATTTTATTACTGTCTAATCACTATGAACCAACTGACATGTCTAACTAACACATTTAAGTATTTTAAAGAAAGAAAGAAAGAATAATTGAAAAAGAAAAAAACTAAATAAAGATTATGTAACACAAATAAAATCTGTCAAGCCATCAAACACAGGCAGGTAAATGCGCAGGTATGCCAAAAATTCTTCTTAAACTTCTCGTAGTTTAAAGGTATGAACTGAACGGAACTGTGTTTCATATAAATTGGATCAACTAGGATTAAGGAACACACACACACAGATACACACACACATTTTTACCTACTAGTCTCTTCTCTCTAGAACTGGCTGTTACATGCTATATTATGTTAGATTATATTATGTGAGATTAGAGTAGATTAGATCAGAGTCACTTCTATTGTCAACGGTTCAGAGCAATGTCATGCACAAATGCACTCTGTGGCCTCCTGTCATCTAAACTTATTGTCGTGCATCCTCAGTACACAGAAGAGCCCAGCTCAGCATCTCTGACTGGTGGGTTGTCATCAAGTTGTCACCAAGCAAACCTGTTCAGGCTGCACCAATTAAATGACTTTACCGCCCCCTCTGTTGGCTGTGATTGGCTGACGGTGTTTAAAGGGGACATAGAGCACGGTCACCTTTAAACTCACGCCTCTATCTCTCATTCTATTAGAACATTAATCCGCTACACTGTTGGCTTTACCTGTCAGTAGAGGACATCGAACCAGTGTTATCAGTCGAGACCAATCACTTTCTGTTTGCCAGTAACTGTCAACTACACTGTAAAAACAAATGTTTCTTTTAAACAATAATTGTTGTTGTTGAACATGTAACCAAACTACATCTGTTATTTAGTAAACAGACGTTTATTTTCTTACATGGAGTATTTATCTGTTCTGTTGTCTACAAACTCTCCATTTCCTTTTAATATCACTCTGTTTGAACAGGGCCTTGCCTGACCTTATAGCAAGATCACTGGTACAGTTCATGGTGGTAACTGATGGTCTTTATGTATGGGGTGTGTGTGTGTGTGTGTGTGTGTGAGGGATGTCCGGTTTATGCAGTGATTTGTATTTTGCAATATTTATGCTCCACAAGATGTTTCTACACAGAATTCAGTGGTTTCCTGAGAAAGTTTCTATTTCATAGGAAATTACAGACTAGTTTTCACAGTATGACACCTAATGTTACATAGATAGAAACAGAAAAGGTCACATTTTTTTATTCATTTTTGTAAATGAGGAAGTAGAACTCTAATAAAAAATGCGAGAGAACTGAACTAATTCAGCTGATTTATCATATAATGATTTACTTGAAATGTTGATTTACAATAAAAAAATGTTTTTTTAAATGTGTTAATCAAACATCTAGTCCTAACGGAATATCTGGTAACAATACTCTCCAGCAAAGAAGATACATTCACACGGCAGTTTGACTGTAACTACAATAAACTAAAATTGAGCTGTTCAGTGGTTTAGTTTCCAACTAATCATCTCATCGTCACAGTTATTATTAAGAGGAAATAGCGCCATCTAGTGGTTAAATAAAATGTTTTTAAACGTATCCTCGTGCGGGTTACAGCTTTTTAAGTTTTGTTATTTCATTTTGAAGGCGGTGACCCTTTGGGCAGTGTCTACTTGACACAGTTCCAGAGGCTGGTCCTCCCTCTCGTAGGAAGTGCTAATGAACCAGCCAGGAAACTTCACAGACTCAAACCTGTTCACATCTATCCCCGTCTCCTCGAGGTAGAATAGGAAACGGTCCATGTTTGTTTCCTCGCTGATGACATTCAAATCACTAGATTCACATTTCTGCCACAAAACAGATAGAGAGAGAAAATGTGTTCTTTGTTGTCTCTGAACGCTAAACAACAACAGGTCATCAGACACAGTTAGACAAATTCAAAATTCTCTGTCGTTCACATGTATTGATTAGAAGTAAAGGACAGTCTAATTAGAACCAAAAACTCAAGACAAACATGGTCCATCATTACAATCAGAGATCAGATCGACAACAACAACCTTTTTCTAAACTCCAAACGTATTTTTCTAAACTGAAGTGTAGCTGATAAACATCATAACTCTGTAGCTGCTGAAGCTCTGAACATTACACTTGTTCCTATCCATCCTCACATCCCAGGTTCACATTCCAGGTTTATTACTTGGTTTTCTTCCAGGTTTACTAACTGGTCCACCGCCCATGTTTACTAACTGGTTTATATCCCAGGTTTACTGCCTGGTTCACTTCTCTCTCTACTGCACACCTTCATACCTTTTGGACGTCTATTACTGATTGAATTATCAATCAATAATCAATAAGAGGCTGGTTACTTTCCTCCACCTGATGTCATACATACAACTTCCTGTTTAAGTCAAAATTGGACCGACCGACCGTGTGTGTGTGTGTGTGTGTGTCCGTGTGTGTGCGTACCTCCAGATAAAGCTCAGGTCTGTCACCATTCATGGAGCAGGAAATGAAGAGTTTGTGTTTGCTGACTGACAGAACAACAGTCCTGCCAAAACCACTAGAGGCATACGACACCAGTTTAAATGTCACTAAATGGAGAGCAAGAAAAGGAAACGTCACTGACAGTAAAATGACTCATTAATGTTCTCACATGTGTGTGTGTGTGTGTTTAGTGGGGACTGTTTGATTCCTGACTGTCACAACACATCATCTACCAAACCTAGTGGCTGGGGTTGCTTCAAGGACAGTATCTAGATCAGGCGTGGGCAAACTGTTTGACTTGCGGGCCACAACTGTCCTAAAATTAAACAGGGCATCTGGGCCAGGAGCAGACAGACGGAGAGTTCGTGTGAACTAAGATAAATGACATGTAAAAGTCAGGCATAAAGTCATTTAGTGACAGTGTGGCCAACGGTTTTATATGCAAGTCATACGGTGTGTATCTGTCCTCCACAAACATATTGGACAGGTAACCCTGAACCATCATTTTGAGCAAACGTATTTATTTACTTGTGTACCTTTGTGATTACTGTTTCCCCCCTTCAGAGTGACAGCATGGAGCTTCAGGTTAGAACTGATGGTTGTGCAGATGATGTCCTTCCTTTCATTGTCAGTCAGGTTACATTCCCAACTCCCGCAACGGTTGAAGGGTCTTGTTTTCTGGTCTTTGCAGCAACTCTCCACCCTCTGAGCAACATCTTCTGTGGAGACACGTAAGCAGACATTAGCTCCCTCTGTGTGTGTACTTTGAGAAGCCTGACTGTACAGTAGTAATGCTAATTTTTCACAGGTTTCTTAAATTCTTTTAGTAAATATAGTTTTGTACATTTCTGTAAAACCAGGGATAGGTGATTGACAGGACAACCCCCAACATCAATCTTATTTTATCACAAATTTCTCCATTTTCGTGGCTAAATCAACCACTATGCTAGTTTTAGCAGCAAAACACCGCTCAGCCTTTTTGACAGTTTGTCTGTCATCACAATGCAAAGCGTTAATAGGGATTTGGGAGTAGTGTTTAGAGAAGTGTAGTCTGGCACACGTGGGAGCTCGGCAATCTCCGTAGCTGCTTGGACCCTGAAGCACCCACGGAATCGACACTAATGCTCTGGGTTCTTCCTCCTGTCCTAAAGCATGGAGTGGCCCACCCTGTTTTTTATATTTAGACAAACCCCCTGCTCCTGAAACCATAATGAATACCTTTCTATTGTCCGGAAATGATGTCTGTCATGAAACCTGACATTTAGCTCACAGGCCGAGAGAAGAGTCATTCCTGTTGATTCTTTGATCTTTTACTTCTAAGAGTTCTCCCACCATTGAAAGTTTCGCAGCACCTCCTTGACGTTGGTGGTAATTTCCAACTTTTTTGCAGCATTAACGTCAGTCATAATACCGCACTGAGAATTCCCCATGTAGTAATTCAAAACAGGACTATAAAGAACACACCCTCACTGAAAACTCCGTGACCTACTTTGAATGACACAGTCCACAATCATCCTGCAGAGGTCACTCTCTGTGAGCTGCTTGCTTTGGTCTGTCAGACACTTCCTCAGTTTGTTAGTCACCAGCAGCAATGTTGCAACACCCCTCAGTGTGGGTGGGTTTTGGTAAACCACCAGCTTAAGCTCTTCATCAAGTTTGGTGACATGAGGAACCATCTGCATATGAAAAGAAAAGTGCAGGAAATGTCTCTTTAATCCTTAATCGCTGGAATTAAATAACTGGTATATAATATGTATATATGTGTGTGTGTGTGTGTGTGTGTGTAATTTAAAACCCACCAAAGTAAAACAAATAAAAGAGTAAAACCTTGTCCATTTATTTAAAGATCACATCAACAACACCTAACATCTATACAAACAAAACAACTTCCATTTTTGTTCTCTTTTTCTCTTCATTTTTACTCTATCTGTGGTCCATAAATAAGTACTTTAAACATATTTTTTATATTATATGGACCACAGTCCTCAGTTGTTCCCAAACTGAATTCAGAGTACCAGTATTTGGGCGCAGTGATCGGCACCTGTATGAATCTGTATGAAGTGCTGTCGCCTGATCTACCTTTTGTGAAGGGCCAACAATAATAAAAGAAACAACATGTGGTCAGCTTTGTCTGAGTCCGTATTATTCAAAGATATTCTTCGAACAGGTGACATGGCCCGAAAGACAGAGACCTTATGGGGTGGTTAGGGATCAGATAACACTCCACGGTGGAGTGATGAGATGATCAGGCCTGTTGACAATCTCACCCTGAGCCTATGTCCACTAAAGCTGACTCTTCTCTTCTTCTGTTATGTGCACATCACAGTTATAACCTGATTTCCCATAGACATGTGCAGCTTTTTAAACTATTTGTTATTAGCTTCAGTTCTGCGGGGTGACAACCTTGTGTGAAGACAGACCCAAACAAGGTTCATGCTGGAATTTAAACAACAGAATGTTTTGGCTAAGATGGAACAACACCAGATTGCCATCTGGAGTGGAGTGGTAGTGTGTTTTGACCTGAGCTCTTCTTCTTTTAGAAACCTGGATCACGTCTTCCCTCTGCTACCCTCTTCCTCACGGTCTTCCTCTGTTGCTGCAGAGCAAATACGTCCACTGTCCCTCCTCAGATCACGTCTAAACTATCTAAACTTTACCTCTTTAACACCAGCCCTAACTTTCCACATGCACCCTTCTTACTAACAGACGCGTACTCTCCTCTGCTGACTTTCATTTCCCTTTTCAGTGCAGAAACTTCCTCCTTACTAGTTACCTGCTCTCCCTGTATTGCAATAACATCTGCTCCCAGATCTGTCTTCCTCTCTCATTTCCCTCTTTATCAGCTCTATGCTATATATATTAATTGCAAATGTGTAAATCCCTTTTCCCTTTCTTACTGTTCAACCCTGCATAAGTTCACCTCACCCTCACAGTACTGTCGTTTTCTATTAATGCCTGTTTCCTGTCACATTCCATAGTCAGATTTCTCTTTCTAAAATGAACTGAGGGCCACTGCTGACACTGTCATTTCATTAAAGGGATACATTATTGTTACATTTTATTCATTTAAAAAAATGTATTTAAGAAAAGGTAGTGTAGTGGAAACTTTATATGCATGAAGACTGATTGACCTGTCCTGTACTGGCCTCTTCACTAGGGGTGAAATCTGTTTTATTGTAACCTAATATTTAGCCAGTTGTTGGAGGTCAAAGATCAAAGACACTGGACAGTATGTGATTGGCTGAGACTTGGTTGGGGAAGCTCACCTCTGATCTGCAGTCTTGTTTCTTTGACACATCAGACACATCAAGACATTTCCACAGCAGGTTTTTTTTTTTTTTTTGGTTAAGTTTAAGTACTTTATGCTACAACAATGCAAACAATGATTTAAGTATCTTCTTCTTCTTGTTCTTAGGCAACATCAAAAATGAAATGAATATTAATATATGGTCGTGGGCTGAAAGTGGGAGGCTGATGTACCACAAGTGGCACTAAATTATATCTTTGGTAACATAATACAGCTACATTGTTGTTAATAAAGTAGCTTAATTACTTAGAGCTTGGTGGAGAAAATGTCTGAGATATTGTATAAGAACATTTTTATAGAAAAGTTTAAGAGTTTATCTTACCTCCATGTTAGAGCCATGGGAGTCACATCCCATGTCATCATCGTTCCATCCACTTGTGCTGAAACACAAAAAAGTATCAAACTAATTATAGTGTGTTAAGCGTTATAGATGCTCAACAAAAAATACGGTAAATACAACCTACCAGGACAATGTAATGTTAGTGATTTAAAAACAGTTTTCTGCTGTTAAAAAAAAAATACCTGAAGGCTATCCATCAACATTCTCAACCTGAGACTACACAATGGTTGGCATGTGTTTGGCACCACCACGGCTTTGTCTGGTTCAGCTGTAGTTGAGGTTTCACACACTAAATAAAAGATGTATGAGGCATGGACACGTAGCTTCGTGACGGTCCAACTCTGAGACACTTAGCAAAAGGTTTTTGTCTTCGCGAACTAATTTCATTCAACACAGTAGCAAACACGGTGATCAGAAAGTATGTATGATTACGGAATAAAAAGCAACAAAAACAGAAGAATAATAAATATCCACACATTTTAAATACAACTAAAAAGGTGCAATGTGTTCAAGGGAAAATTGATGACATACCAAAAAAAGAATACTCCGCTACGTCCTACACTGTTTTTCTTAGGAATAATATCTAAAATGGAAGTTTGTTGCTGGTCAACAATTTTTCTTCCAGTATTTGCTAAGACGATGATATCGACACAGGAAATATAAAAAAAACCCAAACCACAACATTCTGACAGCTGATTCCACCTCCTTTGCCTCACAGGGGCCAGCTCGTCCTCTCTATTTATCCATTTATCCATTTCATTTTGCTGTTTCTCTATGTTTCTCTGTGTGTGATACACAATTATCCTCTTTATGATGGTTATCATTTATTTTGTCGAGAAAAATAAATAATACTGTTAAGCATTTCATGAATTAGATAAACATATCCAGAGAACACAGCTAAAGTTGTTGTATGCTTTTCTTGTAGCTGATTTTTGAGCTACGACTAACTAGTAACAGCTCATGGAATTTATCAATATCGGACCTTAATGTCTGTTTTAAGAATGCTGTTTGTGGGGTGCATTTTATGTTGTAATTTGAAATAAAAACACGGTACTTCTCAATCACAGCTGTATTGAGAATGTAACTATAGTAAATTGATGTTTGGCTTAAAACTAAATGTCCCACGGAGCTAGCCTACACCTGTTACTGAGACAGGACTAACAACGGCGATACAAATGATAACTGTTGCAATATGAATTCCAGTCAAACTGACATAGTTGAGTTCTCTGTGTCCCCTGTCACTCGGTCAATGACAGCAGCCAATAGGCTCAGAGAATCCGGGTACATGGGGACTGAAAACCCGCAATACCAGGTCCGACACGAAGACTCGAATCATTAACTCCGGGGACGTAGGATCGAACCGGCTCTGATCCCACAACAGTGTTGGTTTATCATATTACCTCTTGTAACACTTTATATACTCTAACGTACAAACATTTAAATATACTACTTTTTTAATGTTAGTACGCTGAGATCAAACGAAATCAGAGTCAACTTCCTTCCAGAATAGTACGCTGAGATCATCGCACGAAATCAGAGTCAACTTCCTTCCAGATTGTTCCGGAGGTGAGGAGTTGTACCCGTCCCCAGCCTGTGTGTGACCCCGGGGCAGCTGAAGCCGATGCATCACATGGTGCAGCTTCACACAAGTCGCGCATCTCCGCGCGATCTGTGAAAAATTGTGGCAGAAAAACCACACGTCGCGAGGTAATCGTGTCGCTTCTGCCAGACAGTTGACGGAGTAACGCCTTAAGGAATAGATAAATAAAACAAACTGCATTCTTCAAGACCTGCTAACATGTCAAGGGGAAGCGAACAAAGCACGTTCTCAGAGGTGAAGTTAGATGAAGATGAAGGGAGACCGGACTTGGTCTTACCTGGGGAGGGCGTCCGACAGTTTGAAGTCCTCCATTGTCCTGATGTGTGGCTCGTCTCAGCGGTCGGTGTTTTATCACTGCAGCCTGAATGACACACAGTGGACTGTCCCGGGCTACCATCGCCACACCTAGACTTTATTTGCCCCTCCCATTACCTCATAAGTGCCACGGTTGAAGAGTTCCGTTAGACAACTGAGAATCTTCATAGACATGCACCCAAGTGCCCCCTCCTCAACGCTCCCTCCGACCCCCCAGAAAATAAACTTAACCAAACGTGGAAATCAAAAAGATCATGGTTTGGTGGAGGTCATCACAGTTTTTCTTCTCTCAGTCCTGAAAAAAAAGTTTAAACTTGATTGAGGAACTTGATTTCAGTTTTTTTTTTTTACCAAAATCAAATACAAAGGTCAAAGTCAAATACATATGTATGGACCACACAGTGGAACGTGTGTTTAGTGTTCTTGCCTTACATCCTCATTGAGTGAGTGGTTGTTTCTCACTCACTTCTTCTTTTATCAGCAGACACTCTGTAATCTTCAATGGACTTTCACTTCACTATGGTTTTCATGACTGTTCATAGGCTCCAACCACATGGGTCACCAACATTACCAGACATTTATTACACAAAAATAAACCTTTTTCCCCCAGATTAATGCATTCAGGTTCAGCTACATGTTAGCCACAGGGTTTTTAGCAACACATGTTGTTAAAGTTACCCAGAGTTTACCAAAGTGGGGGATTTTGTCTCAGGGATCACAATTTCATGGATGAGTCAAAGAAAACTGCTTATCCCACCCAAAAATAGGAATTATGAAGCCTGTAATGTATATGATACCAGAAATCACTTTTGTTTAGGTTTTGTTGTTTCTACTTTTCCTACTTCCCACTTTTTGGAATTTGAATCCTTGTTCCTGTTTCTGGATGGAAATAAAGAGGAAAGGAAATAATTGTACTATTATTATTATTATTTAATGGGAAATCAAAAATCAGATCCTTTGGTATTTCTTCTTTTATTTAAAACTCTCCACTTGATGATAATGATATTATTTGTATTCTCACTGACGTAATTCTATTTCAGTCCAAACAAAGTCAAATATATCTGTTTGTGACAAAAACGTCTTCACACTGACAGTCATCATATTAGATAGTGAACTCCTTGTCACTGTGACACAGCTCACCACTGCACACAACCAACTGTGACCTCTGCTTTAACCCATCACCAAAGTGAACAGTGGGCAGCTTTAAGGACCAGGGGAGCAGTGTGTGGGGACGGTGCCATGCTCAGAGCACCTCAGTGGTAACTTGGCAGCTGGTGGACTCAAACCTGAAACCTTCTGGACCCAAGTCTGTTTCCTTAACCACTAAGCCACCACTGCCCCAAAAACTCAGAATCGTATCGGAGTTTCTCAAACAGTTAGACAACAAATCAATCAAACCTAAAGGTAAATAACATTTTAGTAGTAAGATTGCATAGTTGACACAGACAGATCACACCATGTCAACAACGCCAAGCTTAGAGTGAATAGAACTATTTCCATGTTTCAGTGAACAAATGAACACACTATATTAGTTAAACAGGCGTAAACTATCTATTCATCATGTTGTTAAACTGAGAAGACATATAATATTAGCATATTTGGCTATAAGGAATAATGTTTCATTAAGGCACTTGAATCAGAACAAATCTAAACAGAAGTTCAGCTTCTGCCTTTGTACTTCTTGTGCGATTAGTCTCGCGATTAGTCCAAATTCCACTTTGATTACCATTTTATCTTCCCATGGTTATGAAAAGAAGACAATCAAAATAAAAGAATATTCGGCCTTTCTGCCTGCTCACCTGCAGCATTGTACACCTGCGGTACACTTTATACTTATCTGTGTGTTCTTACTGTTGTCTTTGGTGCTGTACTGCTGCTGGAGCCTTAACTTCCCAAAGGGAACTCTCAAGGGATTTATACAGTTCTATCTATCTATCATGTTAAGAGACAGAGGAGGAGGGAGCAGATCATTTACCTGGGAAGAAACAGAGGCAGCCTTTGGTTGAAAATAAAGAGAAGAAGAATACTATAATTTGGAACAATTCGGCTTTGAACAATCAGAGAGGGTTTTCAACACACGCTGAAATAGCGTCACCTGTCTGCGCTCGTTTCTAAAGCCACACAGAGTAAACAGATTCATTGTTTTAATTTGATGTTCAATAAAGTTCAATAGAAGGAAATTCTCAAATCAATGGATAATTTGGCTTGAATAATAATGACTTCAATATGAATCCAAATAATCGACGTCCACAAACTGGTGATCGGTGTTTTCTTAAATATCTTTGTCAAAGCCCTGAAATCTTCCAGTACGTTCTGCTAAACACCAGCTGCAGGAGGGGAAATTGAAAAATTGACTTGATGTTCAATAAAGTTCAAAACCGCAGGTATACGTACAAACAAGTGTACATTCAGGTTAAAGTGTGAAGTAAAAAAAATATCATGTTCTCACACACACTTCTCGAAAGGCCGGCTGCTGAAATTCACATCTAAGTCTTTTGGCAGGAAGAGGCTCTGTTAGTCAGAGATGTTCTTTACCGTACACCTCAGGTGTTACTTGATTTTGCCTAACCACTAACAAAATGTCAAACCACGGTACAATTCTCAATAAGTGACTCTTAACCATTGCGCCTAGAGTGGTCTCAATAAAAATGTAGAGACTGTGTGAAAAAAAGAGACAATCACAGTTACAGACTGAATTCAGGTTTTAATTTAATTTACTAAGAAACATTGTAAGTGTTAAATGTCATGTAGTCTCAGAAGTGACAGCACCCCCCCCCCCACAAAAAGAAGGAAAAAAAAAAAAAAAGAAAAATTCTGTACAAATGTGACCTAGACTTAAACACTGAGCTAGATTTTACTGGTCATTGTACCTGAAATGTGAGATCAGCTGACAGTAGAAAATCCAGCATTTGTTCCCATTAACTCCCAGCTCTCCACCTCACCACCACACCTTCTCCTCAATAGTAACAGCGAGAGAAGCACAGAGCAGTGACCTTATCCATACATTTGGCCTGTTTGATACTAAAGAGGGAAAAATATATATTACATCAAAACAAAGTCCGTTAATAGCTGAACTAATAATTCATCCAAATTATTACAATAGCAACACAAATGGCACAATGTTCGAGTGATAACACTGAATAAATCAAAACCATGGAAACGTTCAGACAGACGATGGATGGTGACCCCGACCAAACACAGCCACTTTGGTGAGATACCCACAGACCAGACTCTTACACATTACACTGTGCTGTACTGGAATAGTAATAGAATGTTAGCATTTAGCTAATGTCATATTTAGACATTCGCAGTGGAGATTTAGACCTGTTTTTAGCAACACATGTTGTTAAAGTTGGTCAGCGGTTCGATTCCCAGTCTTTCTATATAGAGTTTGTAAGTTCCCCCATGTGTGCAATGGTTTTCTCCCAGGTGTCCTCCAAAAAAAAAAAACTACTGTTTGAGGGATTTGATGTGATTATATCTGGGTGACCTGTACTGTGATCAGCAGTCATTGTCTGTGAGTATTTTTCAAAGTTCCACCGGAGAACTGCTGGAGTATTGTATTTCTGACTGATGTTTAGATGCAGCAGTGACCCTGACAAGAGGTCAACATGCATGTCCAGCCTACAAACAGTAGGAATGCAACTAGTAATAACTGGAAACTTCCTGGCTGAACCTGAGACAAACACACACACACACACACACACACACACACACACACACACTGGCGTGAACATGTACTGGAATGTTGAAATGAATCAAATGTGAGGTGTTCCCTAACTGACAAATAAAAAATGTAGGGA